TCCGCATAAGAAAGATGAGGTGATCTGCTTCCATGAAGATTTACAGCCTTGGAAACCTGATGGCCGTTGTGATGAGTCAGAGTCAAGTCAATGGCAGTATAGTATTCAGTATACTCTAAGTTTGGGGTTTTCTGGCTGGGTTATAAGCAGTACTTTTTGTCAGGAAATTCAAAAACAAGCAAACACAGTCCCTAAGTCGATCTGGACACACAGAGACCCCACACGGATTGGAAAGGAACCGTGTTCCTCAGTCTTTAAGAGCTGATTTTTCAGGAGATTGTAAGCCTTTCTTCTAAAGTATCTCTGGGAAGATCTGAACCACTAACCTTTCGGTTAGCAGCTGAGCTCGTTAACTATTTGCAATACAACGCGAGGATGGTGAGACTTCGTATCTCACATACTTTGGACATATTATCAGGGGGAACCAGTCTCTGGAGGAGGACATCACGCTTGGTGAAGAAGGAGATCAGCAAAAAAAAAAAAAAAAGGAAGACCCTCAATGAAATGGGCTGACACAGCGGCTACGATGGGTTTAACAGAGCGACAACTGTGAGGATGGCAGAGTGTCGGGCAATGTTTCCTTCCATTGTATGCAGTGTCGCTATGAGTCGGGGCCAACTTGTTGGCACCTAACAACAGCAACAGGGTGCAATTATCAGACCACATCATGTTATCAGAAAAGCAAGTATTATTTGGGGATGTGCACACACATGCGTGTACACACACATGCCACAACGCACACACAATCATCTTTGTGTGTAGTAGGCTACAAAGAGGGGCAAATTTCTGCTTTGGTTCACCTCAGTCCCACCACTCCCTATGGTTACGTCACAGACGGCTCATCTCATTTCTGGAAAGTAATTTTTCTTAGAACACGGGCCCACTTCCTCACTCATTTCCATAGCACCTGATGCCTGCAAGTATGACTTTTAACTTGAGTATGATTTATAAACCAAAACAGGAAAAAAGTGCTAGAAATACTGTCTAAGGGTTAACCATATAACCTATGGGAGGTGGGATTATCTGTGACTTCAGTTTTCATAGTTAACAACTGTATTATGACAAATAGGTATTGATTTCACAGTGATAAAGGAGCGTATGAAAAATGTTTTTCTTCTCCCTAAACAGTAACTCATAATGGAGATACAAGGTCAGAAGACCATTAACTCAGAGGGTGGGGAAAGCCTCTGCATTAATACATATTAATGACTTAAATCAGAATCCCACAACCAAGTATTGGCAGAGGCATCAACTCTGGCCAGGAGGCCAATCTAGAGGAGAAACCAGAAATGACTGAGAATATAAACCACTTTGGCCATTAAGGCAGCAGGATTCCAGGACCCCATGAGTGAAGGCTCCTGGCCAAGCACAGTACTTCTGAGAGCTAAATCCAGTTCTAAGACTTATGAATGTTTGGCTTGGAGGCACCTCCACCCCAAACAAAAGGAAGGTTTCTCAACACTCGTTAAAGTTTTATGTTAATAGCCTGCATACTTCAATGTGTAGCTTCATGCTGCTGGTTAGGAAATGTTCACTGCTTAAACGATTTACGTGGTTTTTCCATCAAATGGCAATCTTTTCAACACAATCGTGGAAAAAATTAGTCTCATCTTTAGCATATTATCCCTGATTATGGGGCATTTCAATATGCATTTAAAAAAAAAAAAAAATACAGCGTGTAAAAATAAAAAATTGGCACCGTGGTGCTTAGGAAAATATCTCCCTGGGGGGGTGGGGAGTGGTTGGCAAACATAGTGAAGGCAGTGTTACTCCCTCCGGCAAATGTTAACATCAATTTAACAGCAGAGGGCAGGAGGGTGCAGTGAAAGGGAAACAGGCCTAGAGTCAGGATCTGGCTGGAGAACCCAGGCACCTTCCTCACCCACTCCCAGCAGGGCCCTCAACTTACTTTCTGTAAAATGGGGAGGTAGTCTCGAAGAGTTTTGTCTCTTACAGGGCCTGCAAGTGAAGAAGAATGGTTCCTAACATTTCTAAGTGGCTGAAAAAAAAAAATCTAACGAAGAAACAATGTTCATGAAATGTGCTAATTATATGAAATTTGCATTTCAGCGTCTATCAATAAAGTTTTATTAGAACATTGTTGTTGTTGTTGTTGTTATGTGCCGTCGAGTCGGCCCCGACTCACAGCGACCCCTCCTTGGGTTTCCGAGGCAGTATCACTACAGAAGTAGGATTGCCCAACCTTCCTTCGGAGGAGTGGCTGGTGGGTTTGAAGGGCCAGCCTTTGTTTACATATTATCTATAGCTACTTTTGAGCTAGGAGAGTAACAATGAATAGTTGAATAGAGAACCACAAAGCCTAAACTATTTACTATCTAAGCCCCTACAGAAAAAGAAACAATCCACAAAATCAAATTGATTTTGAAGTTCACCTCTCTTGCATTTCTACTGCACAGCTGTCTAACTCATGACTAACAAAATGACTTTTCAAATTCACTGAAATAAGGGATCCACTAACCTATTATATAAAAAGCCACTCAAAAGCAGTAAGGAATTTTCTCACGAATTCTGATGCCATTTCTCCCTCTCCCTTTGTAACTCCAGGGGTAATAGAGAAGCTCAATTAAATACATTAGTCATGTGCTCATATTGCTATAAAACAATGTTTTCTGAAATATGGGACAGGAGAACCAATAGTGGTTCACAGACCGTGTTTTAATGTACTACTTATATTAATTTCATGTATATTAGGAAAAAATAGAAGCAATTTTATTGTTTAAGATGGAGCTAAGTTGAAGATCGAATATTTAAGCATGTCATAAAATAGCTGGTACTAGAACACAGCAAAAATCATGGCGATGAAAGTTCCGACAGCAGTGAGTTATGAGATGTCTGTCGTTCATAAACATTCCCTCAACAGCGTGCTCTGTGCGGGAACCAACAGGCTGAGCTCAGTGAGGAGTCTGTGATTATGCACCATGTTCTGTCAAGCTGGCTAAAACAGGATCGGATGATGAAATAAAAAGAAACCTTTTAAATTCTGGGCAGAAAACAAGGGAGCAAGAGAAAGCTTTCACTGAAACTATGTCAACATAAATCATGTCAATCCTAGAATGGAGTTTTAACACTCAAATGTGAGTATCCAGAACCAACCACCTAGCTATGAATCAGAATTGGAGAAAGAGGTTCAGGCCTTTATTCTGAAAGATCAAAAGCCACTTATACTTAACCAAGTCTCTAGGGCCCACCCAGGGCCATCTTGGGAGCAGCTAGAAGCACTGGTTGACAATAACCAAACCAACAACACAACCAAAACGTATGGAATTTTTTGAGATATCAATTGACTATGTCCCCATTGATATATCTTCCTGCAGTATCTATGATCCCATGAAGAGCTGATATAAACTGGAAGAAAGGAAAGAAGTCGGGTAGGAAGAGGCAGAGGGAGAAAGAAGAAAAAAAGGAGGGAAAGAGGGAGGAAAAGACGCAAGAAGGGAGGGAGGGAGGAACTGAAACCTCAAAGGCCATCCAAGGTTAATGGTCTGTCTGGAAGTCTAAAGCTAGTCATCCAACCTGGCGATGAGCTTTTATTTATTCATCCTGCAAAACAGCCTGACATTCTGAGAAGACATTTAATAATCAGAGACTTCACATAAAAATCCAGATTACCCATTTCTCTGGAAGAAAGAATAAGACCTGAAACTATTAAGTGCATGTTCCCACATGGCAGCCATGACGGGTGCCCCTGCGATGGGACACGTGCCCCTGGATCCCCAGTGCCCACCTCTCTCGGCTGTCTCCCCAGCCCAGAGCCTGAGGCTGGCTGCCCCTCTTCCTCACGCCTGTCCTTTCTTATTGTGCAAGCTTCTCTGTGCCCATGTCTCTCAAAGGTTAAAAAACAAAGAACAACTATGAAGGCCCTATGTTTCAAGAACAATGAGAGTAAACCTATTTCTGCATAACCCACTGCCATCGAGTCCACTCTGACTCATAGTGAGTGACCTTATAGGACAGAGCAGAATTGCCTCAGAGGCTTTCCAAAGTTGTCATCTTTACGGAAGCAGACTGCCACATCTTTGTCTGCAGAATGGCTGGCTGGTAGGTTCAAACCACTGACCTTTTGGTTTGCAGCTGAGCGTTTAACCATTGTGCAACCAGGTCTCCTTTCTTTCCTTATAGAAGCAAAAGAACATTTTCAAATATGTAATTTAACATGCAACCAAATTATGTTTGGGTTAAAAAAAAAAATTCAATTTAAGTCACTGTTACTTTCCTTACACTCAGCCAGGGCTCCCCATTGGTACCACCTCCCCAATCCAAGTAGACACCATGAGAAATAATATAATAGTCACTTCTGACATCAAGCACTGTTGGAAGCCCTCTTGTATAATGATTCATTTAATCCTTACAAGAACCTTACAGATAGGTCTGATTACTGTCCTCCTGTTACAGATCAGGAAACTAAGGCATAAAGTGGGTTAAATACCTTCCTCAAAGCCACACAACAGAGAGGCAGACCAGGATGGGCTTCCCACTTCCTTATTCTTAACCACTCTGCTAAACCAAGTCTCAGAACTGCAACCCAATTGTTAAATGGGGCATCTTTAAGGAGTGGAATTGCTCTGGGGAGGAGGAACAGCACTGTTTTGATCCCGTGTGTTTCTTTAATCCTTGAGTGTTATAATAATCGGATGATTTTGATAGAAGAAATTATTTTTCAATTTAAATGAATTCTTAGAAAAGAAAAAACAGTGCTGTGGGAAGTTGGTATGATGAACCCAGAAGGCCTGAAGGATTTCTGGCCTCTCTGTCTACTTTCAGAAATGACCTCCAGTTTGCCTTTTGGGAACACTTTTCTCATTTTCTGTTCCCCTAACAGCATGGATCCTCTCTGGTTAACTCATTTAAAATGTGTTCCCGCCCCATTAAGTTCATTTGACCACTGTTAAGATCACCCACTTGGCCCCAACAGGCCTGGCACTGATGGAAACCACACATGTCCCAGTGGCTTCCTCTACTCTACCCTACGCAGGACTGACCTGTGCTCTTATCAAGGAAGTCCATGGACTCCTCGCTGGCACTGAAATGGCTCGAAGTCGCCTTCTTCTCTGCATCCTGCTCCACGTCGGAGCCCGTATGCACGGAAGAGTTCGTACTCATAGGAGAGCGTGGCATGTCCGACAAGGAAATCCTGCGGCCCGTGGCCCCACTCAGCATAGGCTTGTTCATCAGGATCTTGGGAGATGCTGTCATGTCAAAGTTGAGCTTGACCTTTTCCTGCTTGTCAATCTTGGCGGTGCCAGCACTGGGGTTGGTGGGATCAAGCAGCATTTGGTACTGACTGTTGGGCGTGTAGGGTGTCCGGAACGGAGAATAATTAAAAACTCCAAACTTCCTGCGGATGTTCTCCACATAAACCTCCATCTCTTGCATTGCACTGTTAAAGATGCTTTTAGTCTTTTTCACAGAAAAAGGAATTTCTTTGGACATGAGGTAGCAATTATTTATTGGAACCCAAGCCCTAGAAGTGCAAAAGGAAAGAGTTTAAGTCAACTTTGGTAATTTCCAAGACTGTTTGTAATTCATGCAAACCAAATTAGCCTCATATTTTTGGCAAGATTCTTAAATACTTCATTTTTTTTTTTTCAATGACTTGGTTTGAGTGGTTACTAAATGATCGACTTAACAGACATATTCTATTATAACATCAGAACACAAACAACAAAACTTAGCTAAAACTCTGAAAAGTTCAATAAGACTTAAGTCACTTTAATCCACTAAAAATAAATAAATAGCAGCTCCCTTCCACTATGGATTGGTAAGAGGCAGTCAACAGATAGCCATGTCACTGGAGCACAGATCACACCTCACAGATCTGCACACAGATTAAGATGCCTCATTTCTCACTGGGATGACTAGAAGCAAACTCTCAAAACCCTAAAAGCTTTAAAAGAGGTGCTTATTTTTGAATGTGAGGTAATTCATGTCAAAAATAACCAAAAACAAAAATCAGCCCTTCTGATTGTTAACTGGCCAATAAATATATAAAAACTGTTTTGTGCAAAACAGGTTTGTTTTACATTCACTAGTTCACGCACATTTGATTTCATGGCCCTGATTAGGCCAAGAAACTCTCCGCCCCTCTCCTTTCAGCCTTCATGACCCCGGGAGACCAGAAGAACTAGATGGTGCCCAGCTACCAAGGTCAACCACTCAGCAAGGCATCAGAACTGAAAAACTGTTATGTAACCAGCATAATTTTTAAAAAAACTGAAAAATTGTTTTTAACGTAACTTAGGATGCAGTGGTGATCAGCAGTAGGCTTTTCTCCTTCCACACTAGAGACCAGGGTTCGAGTCCCAGGTAATGCATCTCAGGTGCAGCCACCACTCATCCCTCAGTGAGGCTTGCACGCTGATGCTGAACAAGTTTCAGTGGGGCTTCCAGACTAAGACGGTCTAGGGAGAAAATCCTAACAGTCTATTGCAAAAATCAGTCAATGGTATCTCTACAGATCACAACGGCTTGATCTATAACCTAACAGGATGAGGGTGGTCCAGGACCGGACAGCATTTCGTTCTGTCGTATATGGGGTCACCGTGAGTCAGGGCCAACAACAACAATGTAAAATAAAACAGCATGACATGCTTCCCTATTAAACTAGGTGTGGGGAGAAGCAACGGCCCTTCAGCCTCGGGGTGTACACCTTCCACCTGACATTCCAGGTCAGTTCAATCTTCCTACCTTCAAATCCTCATCTCCCAACAGGCTCCACAGACACCCAAGAAATTAAAACTGCCAGTGGCTGGTTCTCTGGAACTAGCAGCCCAGGGACTCTGCCTAGGAGATGGGAGCACCAGGGCCCATACAGGAAACTCCTGGACACAACTGAGTCACCACATACATTTTCTGAGCCTGAAGGCAGACTATAGCTGGTAATCGGAGGATGTCATGGACAGAAATGTGTCCACAAAAAAATGTGTCAACTTGGCAAGGCCATGATTCTCAGTGGTTTTGTAGTTATATAATGATGTGATGTGGCAGTAATGTAATGATGTAATCAACCCCATGTTGTGATCTGATGTAATTATCCTCTATTTGTGGTGTCTTGATCCTAACTCCTTTAAGTTGTTATAATGAGGCACAATTAGGTTACCTTTCTTAATGAGGATTAGGGAGCTCTGGTAGCATAGTGGCTAAAGCACTTGACTGCTAACCAGAAGGCTGGCGGTTCAAACCCACCAGCCACTCCTCGGAAGGAAGGTTGGGCAATCCTACTTCCGTAGTGATACTGCCTCGGAAACCCAAGGAGGGGTCGCTATGAGTCGGGGCTGACTGGACAGCACATAACAATAACAACGAGGATTAGGTTATGTTTGTTATGTTAATGAGGCAGGATTTGGGTGGGCTACAATACTTTGCTAGAGGAGCTTCCCTGGGGTGCGGTCTGTATCCCTTTTTACTGTACCAGAGATTAAAGGGATAAGAACAAGCAGAAAGAGAAAGATCTCAGTACCACCAAGAAGGAAAGCTGGGACCGGAGCACAGGCTTTGGACCCAGGGTCCCTGTGCTGAGAACCTCCTCACTCACTGCCATCAAGTCAATTCCAACTCACAGCGACCCCCTTTGGGTTTCCAAGGCGGTAAATGTTTACGGAAATAGATTGCCTAGTCTTCCTTCCTCAGAGTGGGTGACGGGTCTGAACCGCCAACCTTCTGGTTAGCAGTCAAATGCCTTAAGCATTATGCCACCAGAGCTCCTTGAGAACCTCCTAAATCCAGATGGAAGTCAAGACACATGGCGATCTCCAAGGAGCGCTGGGCCCATGGGTGTTCAAAGGAGACAAGGATCTTCCCCCAGAGTTGACAAAGAGAGAGTGCTTCCCCCTAGAGCTTGTGCCCTGAATTTGGACTTCCGGCTTCCTGAACTGGGAGAGAATAAACTTCTGTCTGCTCAAGCCACCCCTTGTGGTATTTCTATGACAGCAGCAATGGATGACCAAGACAGAAGGATGGGTTTTTCCAGGGAAGCTTCTTGAATTTTACAGGCAATAAGTCAAAACAGTATAGAGAGAGCAAAGGCAACTGTGGTGAGGTAGAAAATCTGTGCACAGTGTAAAGGCAACATCTTTGTTGCTACCAAAAGCAGCCACTCAGGGATCGGAGCCTGGCATTGCCATGTCCTCCAATGTTTCAAGAGAAGAAAAAATTATGGACTTTTTAAAATTTTTTACCCATGTTTTGTTTATTATTGTAAAAAATGTTACAAAACATTTCCCATTCCGACATTTTTTACATGTACAATTAAATAACATTATTTATGTTCACCTTGTTCAAACATCACCAGTATCATTTCCAAATGTCCCATCATCTTTAACAGAAGCTCAGGGCCCTCTAAGCAGTGAGTCCCCTTCTCCCTCTCCCTGGAAATCACAGGGCAACTTAGGTCTCTCAGCACACATTTGTTCTAAGTATTTCATATATAGTATTTGTACTTTTGTGAAATTTTATCCAAGTTTTAATAGCTGGCATCTGTCATACTTACCTACTGCCATTGTAACAGAAATACAATTGACTAGCTGACCACTGGGAGCTCTGGTAGCGTAATGCCTAAAGCACCTGACTGCTAACCAGAAGGCTGGCGGTTCAAACCCACCAGCCACTCCTCAGAAAGAAGGTTGGGCAATCTACTTCCGTAGTGACGCTGCCTTGGAAACCCAAGGAGGGGTCGCTATAAGTCAGGTCCGACTCAGTGGCACCTAACAACAACAGCTGACAACTGACTGGCTGATATCATGAGGAGTAATCGTATCATTAAATAACTACCAAAACACTGAGAATCATGGCCCAGCCAACCTGACACACATTTCTGAAGACATAACTCAATCCATGACAGTATCTAACGCGCATTTTTAAAAGAAAATGGTCCAGAGGAAATAAAGGGTGTCCACAGAACAGAGTTTAAAACGTGGCCTAATCCCCTGCAGCCCTGGGACAAGGCATCAAGACACTAAAACTGCTGTTGTCGTTGGGTGTCCTCAGGTCAATTTGAACTCACAATAACCCCAGGTGCAGAGCAGATCTGCCCCATAGGATTTCCTAGGCTATAATCTTTAAAGGAGCAGGCCACCAGGTCTTTCCTTGCCTGGAGCCGTTGGGTGGGTTTAAATTGCCAAACTTTCGGTTAGCAGCCAAGCACTTAATCACTGCGCCACAAGGGCTCCTTAAACTGAGGGTAAATGCTCCCCAAAATATCTACTGTTTCTCAGTGTGCTTGAAATTACCAGGTTCTCACGCATTCCAACTTGCTGCTGCCACTCTGTTGAGACATGAAGAATCGTATCTCCAGGCAGACGGCACAGGAGCTCAACGGCAGCCAAACGCCTTCAGGGGTAAGAGTCTACACGACACTGTGTGTGAGGCTGGGTGGCCCCGAGTCTAGGCTAGACAAGACGAGCGTGAGATGTGCAGACCCCCAGGGCTGCCCGTGGACAAGTGACTCCACTCCTCTAAGCCAGATTCAACTGTCAGCAGCCAAGTGTGGGGCCAGGGGAGGAGGTAGGTGTCAAGGGCACTAAATAAAAGGCACATAAGCCAGTGCCCAAGGAGCTCTGGTGGTACAGTGGACAAGGCATCTGGCTGCTAACTAGGTCAGCAGCTTGAACCTACCAGCAGCTCCTACAGAAGGAAGATGTGGCAATCTACTTCCAAGAACACTTACAGCCTTGGAAACCCAGGGGGTTCCTATGAGTCGGAATATTGATGGCAGTGAGCTTGGATTTGGTTTTGCCAGTTGGTCATTGTCACTGTGGCCATCTGTCCCCCACCTGTGTCTGCATCAGGGCCTTCACTCCTTCACAGGTTCTCAGATGCCAAGTGGAGGTGTTTGGTAGGAGATTTCTGGACAGTAAAATACGCCTTTTCCTTTAAAGCAGGCCCAGAAAATATTTCAATGGAAATTATATGTGCATCACAGTCTAAAGCCTCTAGGGGGCCACAGTATCTAACGCGCAGAGAACTAGAACAGAACCACATTTAAAAGCCTGAGCTCTGGACTCAGCTCTGTCTGGGTTCTAATCCCAATGTGGCTACTTCCTGGCTGTGTGGCTTGGGCAAGGAAATAGCCAATCTGTGCCTCAGTTGTCTTATCAGTAAAATGGGAATAAAAGGCATTTCTTCCACAGGGTTGTAGAATTAAACAAGGTAATACACAAAAAGCCCCTAAAACAGCCCGGGTGGACAGTAAGCATTCGGTCTCCACTTTTTTCAGATCTGCAGGCACTTGAGAGAACACCTCCCATATTCTTATGCAGTACTGTGTGTGTGTCTATGAAATAAAGCAACAAAAGCAGGATCTTTTAAAGGATATGCACGTGACACTGATTTGTCAAGAGCCTCCCTGGCCCCTGGCAGCTTTCTGATTTACTTGACAATGCACCGTGCAAGATCTATGGTTCTTGGTTGGCTGTTCTGACCTATTTCACTTACATGTTTGGCTCTACAACCCAAGTGGAGTCCCTGACAAAGGGACCATCGTATTACACCTCTTGCTGTCTCCCTTAAGCCTCCACTTTGTTCCCAGGCCTTAGCCCCACCCTGCTTTGAGAATGTCTGTGGGAAACCCTAGATGCTCTCCGATGAGAGCTTGCCCAAAGCTGTCAATGACTTCCAACCCAAAGACAACCCAAGACAAGGACAACATTCCTAGAATTCCACCATGTCCTTCCTCCACTGCTGTGGAATGTGCTTCAGAACGCCCTCACCCAACACAAACCCAACAACTTGGGGTTTCACACAGCGGGTAGGAGACCATACACACTGGGTGGGGTCCGGAATATCTGGAGGGTTGCCACTAACGTGCCCCGGGAGGTGGCAGAGCACGACTCACGCTGCTTTCTCTTCCACAAACATACAGGAGGGGCTCAGCTTCCCCGACAGCTCTAACCCAGAACCAAGCACTAAACCTGCAAGGTGGAACACAGGGCCCGGACGAGCCCTAGCAAAGCCAATGTACTGTGCTTCTTCATGCCCCCTGAGCCATGTTCCATGCAGAGGCCAGGACTGTGACAGCAGGTCACTGACTCCACGGCCTGGGAATATTTGGTGCAAGGGGCCAAGTGCTGCTCTCCCCCACCTTTTTCCTAAGGGTATCTCTACACTGTGTCATACTGTTGTTGTTACGTGCAGTAGAGTTGGGCCTGACTCATAGAGACCCCCCTCCCCTGGGTTTCCAAGGCGGTGTCAGTACAAAAGTAGATTGCCCAACCTTCCTTCTGAGCAATGGCTGGTGGGTTTGAACCGCCAGCCTTCTGGTGAGCAGTCAACTGCCTTAGGCACTATACTACCAGAGCTCCCATGTCATACTAGAGAGTAAGAATAATCCTAAACCTTTGAGATAATTAGCGCATGTCCTGCTCTAATGAACAGGCAAGATGATGTACCTACAACCTGCCATGGCCACTCTGCTGCTCTTCAAATCACCACCAGACTCCTGTCCATAGCCCATATGATTGATTGGCCCCTGCTCACCGCTCTAGCCCCATCTCCTACACCTTTCCTCCCATTACTCCATTTGACTCAGAATGTACCCCCTGCTTCTCCTGAACACACTCAGCCCTTCCCTCCCCCAGTCCCTGCTCTTGCTGGTACCTCATCCCAGATCTTCACACCTGCCCCACCATTCCCTCCAGATCTGAAAGTATCTCACCTACTTGTCTATTTATTTCATCCAACCTCTCCTCTAGGACGCAGCCTTCAAGCCTGTAGACACAGGATCTGCCTAGCTCTCTCCTGTATCCCCAGCATCTAGCACACAGCCTGGCACACAACAGGTACTACATACCTATTTGTGAATGAAAGAATGAATTAATTTGAGAAAGCTTTCCAACAAAAGTGACTGAAATCAAATACAGTACAGTACCTTCTACAAAGCCACTACCATCACAACGCATTTCTCATTTAGCCTCTGACAGTGGACCACCAGGGTTCCTAGTAAACACTTCTGCAGATTATTCTGGAATTCACAATTCCCTTGGACTTGCAAGATGACAAGCAAAACTTCACAAAGAGAGCAGTATTTCAGATTCTGGTCTTGCTTAAAACTATACAAGACTATGATTTTCCCGTGTGTGTGATTTTCAGTATAAAACCCACCTGCTGTCCAGTCAGTCCTGACTCACAGTGACCCCTCCTTGGGTTCCCGAGGCCATATCTCTATAGAAGCAGATTGCCCAGTCTTCCTTCCAAGGAGCGGTTGGTGGGTTTGAACCACTAGCCCTCTGGTTAGCAGTCAAATGCCTTAGGTACTACACCACCAGAGCTCCGTGAAAGTATACAAGACTCTAATTTGTCTCTATGTGCATGTGTGATTTGTAGTATATGTATTTTTACATATTCTCCCCGACATACTAACATACTTTTCTCAAACTTCTTGGTAGGGCTCTGAAAGGGTTTTTGCCACATTTAATCACAACGTGACTTGCTAAGAGAACAAAGACAGTATCTGCCACTCATCTCCATCTACCTGTTGTGCTCAAGCCAACAGGGGCCTCCACTCTAGAGGGAACAGCTATAAGGTGGAGTAACTCACTTTGCCATGAGCAGAGGGGAAGGGGAGTGCAGAGAAGCCGGGAAGGGGGGTTAGCTTCAGGGCAAAGGGACTAGGAGGGAACGGACCACCCAGCACAATGGTAACAGACTCATTCACTGACAAGGACTTCTGATCCCTGAAACCATTACTGTGGAAAGCAACTTGCATTGTGGCAGCTTCACTGACTCCAGAAAAGCCGAAACAGAACAGAAGCACCTCCTAAGGCCACTGAGCCCATCCCAACGCCAGTTTGTCTCCTCAACAGAAGCAGGGAAGCAAAGCCCTTTCCTAACCTGCCTGAACAAACTGAAGCCCTCACATTATCTGGCTTAGCACAGCACAGGGCAGGACTTTTAAACTACAAGATCAGTGGTGGGTAGTATGACAATAAACAAAATAACAGACACACCCTCCACCCCTTATCCTATTCAAGGACAGTATCAAAGGTTTCCGTTAAAGCTACCATTCAAAAAGCCTGTTTTCAACTCCCACCTGTCATGTTGTCCAAAGAAACGAGCATCAACCTGCCCATCTTTATCCCTCAGAGCTTTTGCAGGCCAGAATGGAAAGCCCTTCAGTTTTGCCCAGACCAAAGGATGCGGATTGCTCTAGGAAAAGAAAAAGAAAAAAAAATTTTATATATATATTTGCTAGCAAGATACATGCTTCAAGCCTGGGATGTGAAGATAACACAGGCAGACGTGACACAGACCACATGTGGAAAGAGACAAGTTTCAAGCTGGGTCTCTGCGATTGGAGTCCCACTGAATGTGTGTGGGCAGCCTGGGGTTAAACACTGAAATCAAGAAAAAATGAGTTGAGACATAAAGCAGGCTTGAATCCTGCCTCTGTCTCGCCATTTATTACCTGGGTGCCCAGCAGCAAGACAGTCCACCTTTCTGTGCAACATGGACACAACTATACCTACATCCTCTGTGAAGTTTCAGGATTCGATGTGCACTGTGCCAAGCATATAGTAAGGGTTCATGTTAGCAACCCTTATGGTTGATCAGGAGTCCCTGGGCGGTATAAACAGTTAATGCACTCAGCTCCTAACCAAACTGTTAGAAGTGCCAACCCGCCCAGAGACACCTCTGCAGAAAGCCATGACAACCTACTTCCCGGAAAGGAACCACTGAAAACCGTGTGAAGGGCAGTTCTACTCTGCCACACAGGTCACCATGGGTCAGAATCAACTCAATGGCAACTGGTTTTATTCTTGATCAAAGGCTACTTAGAGCCTTTATTAATCTAGTGTTAATCTCCAAAGGCAGAAAGAGATATAAACTATGTTTTGATTCTCAACTTTATTTGCCTTAGCTACCCTTCCCACCTCCCTATCCCCACACACATACACCAGCCTACCCAAATAAGCACTGCTCTCTGCAGAACACCAGTCTGCAAACTGTAGACCCATGGGGGAAACCAGACTGACTTTCTGGCTTCCACGAACCACGTCTTGCAGAGACCATAGGGTTAATCCAGGAAGGCATTTCCAAACCCCTTAAAATAGACCTAACACAACTTGAAACTGGCACACTCATGCAACACGCGTCTCGTTATCTATACAGCTTTGCCACATCTCATTCCCACTCTCTTGATGAGCTCCCTTTTGCCCAACATCCTGCAGTCTGCTCAGGCTTAATAAGCCCAGTAAATCATGATGCTATCTCTGGCACACGCATTTTCAGCCCAAGAGGTTTATCCTACCTGGATTATGTTCATTTTGCCATAATTTTATTAGGGGGAAAAAAGAATGATTTAAAAACTTCACCCAAACTTTCACCTAATCAAGCCACCTGGTGAAGGTTGCCATGGGGTAGTCGTCAGAGGCACAGAGTTGAGAAAACAAAGTAAAGAAAGGAAGTCCAACTTACACAAGGCTCACAAAACCAGTTATCTCGTTTTTGGCAAGCAGCAAGATAACATTCTGGACACACTTCAATTTCATTCATCTGGAAAGCAGAAAGACGTTAGAACTTGCCATCGTACGGGTTGTACATGCTGGAGGCCCTCAAGAAATGCTTCATGGACTGATAAAATGAGCTAAGCAAAGTTGCTTAGTGGGAAAACATCTAGGAGATGACGCCAACTGCTCCCACCATTCCCTATTTCAACCCTAGTCCAAGCTGCTATCTCTCCCCTGGACCAATGGAACAGCTGCCTCCCCAACACAGAACACGGCTTCCACTCTTGCCCCCACGGTGGTTCACGCTCCACAAAGCAACAAGAGCCATCTTTAATACACATAAATCTGATCTTGTCATTCTCTTGGTTAAAAGCTTCCAGGGACTTCCCATCACACCAGCAGGTTCTCTCCTGGGGCATTTCTTTATCCTACCCCCACCCTAAGGACATCTGGAGACACTGTGGGTTGTCATAGCTGGAGGGGGGGTGTGTTGGTCCTATTGGCATCTAATAGTTAGAGGCCACAGATGGCGCTAAACTGCCTATAATGCACGTGACAGTCCCTAACCCACCCCCACCCCACCCCAAAATGTCTAAAGTGATGAGGCTGAGAAACCTTTTGTTATATGAGCAATGAAATCCAAACACCTCATCAGAGTTTTCAAGGCTCACCTGTCTGACCTCATCTTGTCTGAGCTCCACCACCATCGATCCATTTCAGGACCTCTGGCTTCCATTCACCCTTCTCAATATATCTCTAGTCATACTGTCTAGAACAGTTAATTAATTCCATGTCACTCTATTTTATTTCCACTGGCGACTCTGAAAATCCCATAACTTATTTATATGCATTTATATGTAGACTTACTTGCTTGTCCTTCTCCCTTCTTGAGAAAGTAAATTCCAGACAAGGGCCCTAGAAGCTCTTTCTCAGACATGTATTCATACTCTGCCACTGACTAGCTCTGTAACCTTTGGTGGCTTCTCTCCTCTGGGCCTTCATTTCCTCATCTATCTAATGGGGATGACAGACAGCACCTAGAGCTATTGTAAAAATCATCATAAATACAAAGCCTTTCAAATAGGGATATGGTAATCACTGCAACAATTAACATTTATTGGGTATACTCAAGGAGATCTGGTTAAGGCATCTGGCTGCTAACCAAAAGGTCAGCAGTTCAAAGCCACCAGCCGCTCCAGAGGACAAAGATGAGGCAGTCTGCTCCTGTAATGATTTACAGCCTTAAAAACCCTATGAGGCAGTTCCACTCTGCCCGATAGGGTCACTATGAGTTAGAATTGACTCGACGGCAGTGGGTTAGGTTGTGTTTGGTTTCCGAGTATGCCATTATCATTCTAAATGTTCCATGGGTTTTAATTCATTTAAACCTCATAACCACCCTGTGAGGTGACATTGCTGTCATCCCCGTTTTACAGAGAAAGAATGAGGCCCCAAGAAGTCGAGTGACCTGCCCAAGGTCTCACAGAGGCCAAGTGGTAGTGCCAGGATTTGAACCCTGGCAGTCTGGGTCTGAAGCCCACTCACTTCACCACTATACTGTTAACTGCTATTGTCTTCCCATCATCATCAGTCATTTTCTTTTTATCTCCTGTCATCATGCAATGTGCAAACACCTGGTAAGTGCTCAATAATTATTTTTAAGACTGGCTATCTCGACAAATGAATATATAAATGGGCTTCCAACACCAGAAAAGCACAGAGAATCTGCTACACGCAGTGTATGAACTGCTACAGATCTTCTAGAAAACAATTAGGCACTAGCTACTTGAATCTACCTCTTCAATGTTTATAGCCTCTGACCTGGTCACTGCATTTCTAAAAATTACACTACGGGTATCGGCAATGAGCACTGAGATAGAGTGTTAATTAATATGTTGGCAAAATTGCATACTGCCTGATGACAATGGGGCTTAGTTAAATAAATATTCATGCATTGTACATAGGAATGCTAAATAGTCATGAAATACTGTTATTCTTGTCTAATCATTCAAATATTCAAAACAGACTAAGTGGCAAAAAAGTGTACTATAAAACCACAGACTGAGGTGGGGTAGGGGATGAGAGATGGACACATTCCAATAATATTGAAGGATTTTCTTTAACAACCCTGAGGGAATAAAAAAATGAAAGGAAATGCACTAACAGGGTGAAGACCATTGTGCCTCGGTTTCTCACTCTTACAACAGGGTTTTATATAATTTCTGCCTCCAGCCCTGCCCCACACCACAGAGCCCCAGGGCATCCATGTCCAGTACATGCATTCCATCCGTACCAACAAAACCGTGGATATTTGCAAGATAGACTCTCAGGGACCAACAACAACTTGGACTGCTCTCTGAGAAGCAGCTAAGGCCTCTCCCTCAAAATAATGTCAAAATCCAAACCTCTTCTGCAACAGGACTGAAAGGGATCCGGCTCAGTGCCACAGACTGTGGGGCAGAGGTCAGAAGTTAGGAGCTCACTCTATGTTACCAAGAAAACTCACAATGCCTAGTGCCTGATAAAGACATATAGGCTGAAGAATTAAAAGTTACATTCTGTTTGCATCTCCTTTAGCTCACGGCAGAGGCGAATGTGTTTTATAACATATTAGGGTCCTCTGGTTCATGCTTTCCTTAAAAGAATGGGGATGCTGACTATGCCACAAAGATTCCCAGAGCCACCCACTGGGCAATTCTTCAAGTGGAGCCTTCAGCCTCTCCAACCATCACTCTGAAGAGGACACAGTTCAGTGGAGAACACATACCTCATGTTCACAGATTTTGATGACGACTTTTGCTATTTGCGTCAATTTGTGATTTCCTGAAGAAATGAGAAAACGGGATTAGTTCAAACAGAAGCACTGGAACATTTGCCTTGGCCTGACTTCCACTAACAACCTTTTAACTTGCTTTTCCCCCAGGATTAAGTTTGAAAAGGCTGAAAACCAGAAGTTCCTGGCTTTTAATACCAGTCCAAATTATATTACTTCTCCCATGAAAGTCAACCAATCTTTGGGGCCTCAATGGCATCTTTTCTGAAACCGAACAATTTGTGTGGGTTTCCCAGTATTACCCAATAGTTCACAGACTAATATTTGAAAAATGCTTTTATATCCGAAGGGAGCCTTATTCTACCCCCAGTCTCAAAGCACAACCCAAGAAGGGCATAAAGGAAGCAAGACATTTAACTAAGTAGTTCTCCCGAACCTGGTGCTTCCAAATATATGTTCACGTTAACGCCTCACAAAGTCCTATTAGGAAACAGGTATCAACGTTCCCATTTAATTGATGACTAAGCCAAGGATGAAAGGAGTGCTCATGAGATCAGTGAGTTAATGAGCTAAGGATCTGGCTCCAGGTCAAACTCTAAATCCCTCACCCTTTGCATTCAACCAGAAGACAAGATGTTTTCTTTGAACTTGATAGGGTGTTTTCAGAAATGGTCAATTTGTTCACAAAAAAAAAAATTTCACATTTAAAACATAAACAAAACCAAAAAACTCTCCATTTCTAGCTTGTTTTGAAAACTCAGAAGGGCCGACAGCTCTGTATCCACCAAACCTTGAAGCTGCAGGGGTAGCCCCTCCAAGCCAGACAAGAGTTCTCCCTCCTCTCGAAGTTCCCAGCAGTCCCCAGGCCAGCAGCCATGTTGGCATGTGCTGCTGTTTTTCTTTCTGATCCACTCAGTTTATATGATCTGATAGGCCTTTCTATGTATTTGAATTTACAATGCCTACAAAAATTCATAGGAGCTCTGGTGGCATAGTGCCTAAGGCATCTGACTGCTAACCAGAAGGCCAGTGGTTCAAACCCACCAGCTACTCCTTGGGAGGAAGACTGGGCAATCTACTTCCATAGTGATACTGCCTCAGAAACCCAAGGAGGGGTCGCTATGAGTTGGATCCGACTCAATGGCAGTGAGTTAGGTTTGTTTTTTGTTTACAAAAATTCACAAGGAGCCCTGGTGGCTCAGTGATTAATCACACTACCACCACGCGCTCCACAGGAATAAAGACCTGGCTTACTATGCAGTGCCTTTCCGTCTTTCCCCACTTTCCCCATCACAGCTACTCAGTTAACAATGCAAAAGGTCTGCTTAAAGCAGACATCCATCCACTCCCCGTTCATCTATGCTAACCATTAACCATTGCCATCAACTCAACTTTGAGTCATAGCTACCGTACAGGACAGAGTAGAACCGCCCCATAGGGTTTCATTTCCAAGGCCACAAATCTTTACGGATGCAAACTGCCAAATCTTTCTCCCATGGAGAAGCCAGTGGGTTCATACCATCGACCTTCCAGTTAACACCCAAGCACTTCACCAGTGTGTCACCAGGGTTCCTTCACTGATACTAGAGCCCAGGGATATGCAGGGAACAAGATATGGAGTCTGCCCTCAGAGAGCTCACATCCTGGTAAACAATTTAAACAAATAAATAACAGTACCATCCAGAAAGTGTGACAAGGGCTGCCCTGGGAAGGTACAGGGACATGAGAGCCCCAGACAAGAACACCTCTCATGGTCTGAGGATGTCATGGACAGTGTCTCAGATGACTGAGAGGCTGAGACTGAAGGATAAGGGGAAGTCATCAAGGCAAAGAAGATAAAAGTGTTCCAGCAGAGAGAACTGCATATGATAGCATCTGGGGCCAGAGAAACAGCCGTAAAGAGCTACCTGGCCAGAGGCAGACAAACAGGGCTGGGGGAAAGTAGGGAATATGCCCGAGCTTAGAATGGAAAATCAGCGCCAGTCTATCTACAAGGCTCCATTTTCTAAGCACTCAAAAATATAACTGACAGAATGTAAGGATGTCTCCTAACAACTCTAATAATAAAAGCAGTAACAGTTCAATTTTTTTAAATGAGCAAAAAAATGTGAATAGATTCTATGCTGAAGAAAAAATAGACACTCAACATCATTAGTCATTAGGGGGGGAAAAAAAAAAAACACCAAACACTGCTGTTGAGTTGGATCCAACTCATAGCGACCCCTCCTTGGGTTTCCCGAAGCGGTATCACTACGCAAATAGATTGCCCAATCTTCTTTCCAAGGAGTGGCTGGTGGGTTTGAACCACCAGCCTTCTGGTTAGCAGTCAAATGCCTTAGGCACTATGCCACCAGAGCTCCTTTAGTCATTAGGGAAATGCAAATTAAAACCACTACAGCACACTATTTCACACCTTCAAGGATGGTTGTAATTTAAAAGATCAACAATACCAAGTGTTGACAAGGATGAGGAACAACTAAAATGGTACAACTACTTTGGCAAATTTCTTACAAAGTTAAACATATACCTAATGTTATACTATACAGCAACTCCACTCCTAGGTATATACGCAAGAACAATGAAAACATACGTCCACACAAAGACATGTACAAGAATATTCACAGAAACTTTATTTCATAATAGCCAAAAGATGGAAACAACTCTAAGGTCCACCAACAGATGAGCAGATAAGCAAATGAAACGCCAGTCAGCAATAAGAGGGAAAAAAAAAAACTACTAATACACACAACACCATGGATGAATTCCAAAATATTACACTGATAAAGGCAGTCAGACACAAGAGTGCACTCCCTAGGACTCCACTTACATGAAATTCCAGAATATGCAAAGCTAATCTTTAGGGACAGAGAACAGAACAGTAATTGCTTTTGGTAAATTTACTGGACAGGGGCACAGAGAAGCACAGTATGTCGATGGAAACATTCTCTATCGTATCGGAGGTGGGGATGACATAGGTGCTGACACGTTTGTCCAATTCATCAGAAGTACACTTAAAATCTGTGCACGTCATTGTACGTCAATGAAACAGCCACTCTTGAAAGATATTTTTTAAAAACGACAGCAGCACCACAGAGAAGTGCAAGCCACTCTGGACATCAGGTCCACCAAACACGCACATAGACAACTTGCCCCCGACACACACGCCAGCCACCTTGGCCCTGATGCGAGGATGAAGTGTCTGGTTTGTGAGGAAGGGGGGAGGGCAGGCAGCACACACAGCACATTTTCTCCCCCAGGAGCCCGCGGTGCCACTCACCCCCGTTATAAATGATGCAGTTGTGCAGAATCCACTTGGCGTCGGCCAGGAAGGCTTCTGTGCAACCGTACATTCTCTTTTTAGCGTTCTGGAGAGAAAAGCCACGGAGCACAATCACCAGTGAGTCTACGCGAGCCACACTCGCTAACACCTGGGTCCCCACGCAATTTTCTTAGCAGGCATTTGCCAAATTAATTAATGTTCTTTTCCTCATTTCCCAAGGAGGCATTGTATTTGAGATCTATCACCCTATAAAAATGCATTCATTGAATTTGTCACACTCACTGGAATTTTCTCATCACACAGCAGCTATCTTTTATCAAACAGCTCCTCTGATGAACGAGGGTAATTTATCCATTTATGTGTATTATTTATTATTACGTGCCCTGTCTCCTACAAGCTTTGTGAGAACTCAGTAAAGTGGTTAGTATCATGCCCATTTAACAGATAGGGAACCTGAGACATAGTAATGTTAAGGAACTTAATACAAAGTCCCAAAGCTCCTAAGATATAAACTAGGATTCCAATATTTTCTCATTTCAATGTCTCCTTCTTTCCACTCTATCATGAGGGCATGTGCAATTTCCCAGTGCATGTGGGAATTAGTGCAAACAATATGAAGCAATGCTTCCTCCCCATCAACGTTTTTTTATTGCCCATATTTTGGAGCTGGTGTGAACAATAAGGAGTCCTGGTGGCTTAGTGGGTAAGGCATTTGGCTGCTAACCAGAAGGTCAGCAGTTCAAACCAGCCAGCTGCTCCATGGGAGGACGATGAGACTATCTACCTCCATAAAGATTTACAGCCTCGGAAACCCAGTGGGGATGGCAATGAGTCGGAATCAACTCAAGGGCAGTAGGTTTGGATTTTGGGGGGATTTTCCTGGTGTGAAAATTAGCACCAGAAGCATGTATACAATCCAAAGTGTTACAAGTGTGATTTTAAGCATGGAATCTTCACATAGACTTTTAAAAACACCTCCAGCATTGAAGAAATATTCTCACTAGTAGAATAAGTAAGTCAAGTTCTAAGAAGCCACATCTTTACTGCTAAGCAGGAGGTTTCTCAGACATTTCCTTCCCTTTTCTTCCTTCCTGGTGCTCTCATTAGTACTTCCAAGAGAAAGAGAAGGAGGAAGGCTCAAATCAATCAAATCATCAATTCTGAGAAGCTCTGACTTTTAAGTCACTTGCAGAAGCCCTATCTGCAGCTAATCATTGGATTGCAACACTCCGTTGCAATCCTTGGAAGAATGTTACAAAGGAGAGGTCACAGGATCCAAGCAGGATCAAGAGTTCTTCCATCTGAATACAAATGAACGGGAAATTGTAGAGAAATCATCTAGATGGGGCACAGAAAGTAAGGTGGGATTGTAAGTCATCTCGACAAGTGTGGGCTACAAGGCTGAGGTTCTTTGAGGAGGCCAACCTTTTCCAATGTACAAAGGTCCATAGGATGAAAGATGTATTCGGCGTAGTCAGGATGCTGTTCCAATGGAACGGGCTTCTGGAATGCATCTGTCTATAAAAGAAAAGAAGCACATACAAAGACACAGACTCATCATTATAGGGAAGGCCAAGCTCGTAGTACCAACTAAGGGCCTTCAAAATACATGGAGACTGCTTTTCAGATAATACGGTTCTAAAAGGTTCCACAAGGAGCCCTGGTGGCGTAGTGTGTCTAAGCACTCTGCTGCAAACCAAATGGTTGGCAGTCCAAGCCCACCAGCTGCTCTGCAAGAGAAAGACCTGGTGATCTGCAATGATTACAGCCTTCAAAACCCTATGAGGCTGTTCTTTCTACTCAGTTACATGGGGTTGCTCACTGTGAACCAATAATCAACTGGACGGCACCTAACAACAACAACAAAGGGTTCCACAAAGAATATCACTGGGGACCTCAAAACTGGTCCACCTTCTAATTCTGCCTACTCATGGAGAATCACAGGCCCAGCTGTGTTTTGATTTTACTGGTTTCATTTTCAACATAAGCCAAGTAACAGGTCCTATCCTCTTCTGTATTAAGAATGACAAGGGCACACTCTCTGCCACTTTAGATCTGAACTCTGAACAAGGCTCCTGTATGTACTGCAACCACCCATAGTCAAAAGTGACTATGGTTGAGGTGTGGTTACAACGGTTAGAGCCCACACACCACTTAAAAGTTCCTGTGAGTATCAATGAAGCAGCCCTGGTGGCACAGTGGTTAAGTGCTTGGCTGCTAACCCAAAGGTCAGTGGTTTGAACCCATCAACCACTCTACAGGAGAAAGATGTGGCAGTCTGCTTCCATAAAGACTTACAGCCTTAGAAACCCTATGAGGTAGTTCTACTCTGTTCTATAGGGTCACTGTAAGTTGGAATTGGGTTTGTTTTGTTTGTTTGTTTGTTTTGAGTGCCAACAGATATTTTACATAAGGAAAAAATTTAGACAGTGAGATTTTTCTCCTCCTTTCAAGAAGCCAAATCACCTTCAAAACAGGGACTGTGTAAGTTTGTCATCACTTTCTTATGCCCTACTTAAAGCACCTCAAAATGCAAGGCCCAGTTTGTGGAGCATAGTGTTTACTTATCATTGAAAAAGCGACAAAAGTTAATTAGATGCCAAATTCTACTCAAGTAAGACACCTGAACAGTTACCCGTTTATGGTCATCTGAGCCTTCTTGTATCCAGAATGGAAGTTTGGCCACTGTTAAAGGCATTTAAACAAAATCTTCAACTTTCTGCCCAATTTTCCATCAAACAATTAATATAAGAAGTTAATGCTTTCTTTCTCTTTTGGGGTTTCTAATTCTATAATGCTAACAGGTCTACATGACTCTATTCTTTTTGTAAACAGTGTTAAGTAGATACAATTTAGTCCATGAAAAGCAGGAATTGATTCTTTGTCATTCGACATAAAAATGACTCAGAGCAAAGCAAAAAAAAAACCAAACTGAGGTAACCACTCTGGGCTGTCATCAACTGAGCTTGTTTTGTTAAAGAAAGCCTCAGGTTCCCAATTCAGCAACTACCAACTGGCATGCTCTCAGATTAAATTTCAGAACTCACAATAAAAGCTGCTTATTTGCTAAAGTCCCGAAGTCCTACCTTTCTGCCTATTCGCTTGACTTAGCAAACTCTGCTATTTCACAAATGGGAAAGTGTTTTTGTACAAATTGGAAAAGAGCACCCCACCCTCGGGTTTCTTTAAATTCTATAGGAAACATGTCATAAAATATTGGCTATACCGTTGTAATAGACTGGTAATTTTTCAAACAAGAGATTTTACTGCACTCTTCCTGAAAACTGGCACATTAAATACACAAACCACGTGTCTGTGCGGTGGTAGTAGCGCACAACTTGCCAGCAGAGTGTGGCGGCCTTTGTTCACATAGGGATTTCAAGGGGCAAAGGCTATTCATCAAGTCTCATTTCAAACCTGAAAGAAGAAAGCAAATTCTCACCCGCTCTGGGAATTTCACTGCTTGACTTTTTACCTGCAGGTCCAACATCAGACCAGCTATAAAGAAACTGGGTGGTGCTCAGCTGCCCTTGAAATGGAATCGACCAGCTCCCATGGGAAGGAACACAGAGCTCCCTCTTACCCAATGGGGTATGATGTTCCACTTGACAACCAGATTTTTAAATTCCCACCAACCTTCTACTATCTATCATTTCCCGACTCTGAATGGGCTGCCATTTGTAGTCATCTGAGCCCTTCGGGACACAGACTGCTTGCTTTAAAAAAATAAACTAGGGGATGGGGAAAAAAAAGAAAGAAAGAAATTAACTGAACATCCTAGCACCTTATGCTTCATTTTCAAATGACTGAATTTGAATATACAAGGCAGTATGGGCATATGGGCAAATGCCTGAAAAACTAGGCCTACCAAGAGCAAGAAAGTAAACAGAACATAACAAAAGTCACTATCTCCACTGACACTTGTACCAAGAAAACTTGCTTCTTACCCCTGGCTGTTTCATCTTCTGAATGGCAAACTTGAGCAGGTATGATAGCTGTTCAATGGTGAGCATTGTCATGGCTTTACTCTGAGTCTCGATGCACTCCGCTACTGTAATTTTCTACAAGTCAAAATTACACAAATGTCCAGTTAGAGAAAATAAATGTAAATTGCTGTGTACTTACTTCCCTTCAATCTATTTTTCCAGTAAGCTCACACATAAAACACAATTCCCATCTAAGTGAGATTAATTGTTTCGCTTTGCAGGGACTTGGCCACAGAGTACTGAATCAGTGGATGAAAATTAAGAGACACCGTGATCCATTATTTACCTTACTAGGAAGTGTCTTCAGCGCATGAAGAGGACATGATCTGAGAATGTAGTGGGCAGGCAGAGACCTAAAAAATCCTCATTACCACCTTGAGTTTCAAGAACAGGATTTGATTCCAAAGGCCACTGGAGGTTTCAAAGTGATCTCCACACAGAATGAATTCTTAACAACCACTCATCTTGATCCTCTTAAGGTTCTGGGCTATCTTTCAGGAAACTGACAAGCCATTAACAGTGAGGAATGGAAGGGCCAGTCTTCCCTGTAGAAAGAATCCAAAGGATGGTAGTGGACCAATAATAAATATGACTTCTCTCTCCATCACCACTTATGTGAAGCCATTTGAGACACTGGCAAACTATGCAAGAAGCTATCACGTCCATGAGCAAGAAACGTCATTTTGTAAGAGAAATTCCCATCAAGGAAGCAACCTGAAGTGCTGGAAGTGGATTCTGTCACATAAATCTGGGATAGTATCTCAGGCTTCAGATGCCTTAGGGAGTAGCAAAAAGAGAAATACTAAGTTCTGATGATATCAGGAAACACACTCTTTAGCAGTCTGTTTAAAGATAGCTGAGAAAAGTTTTCTCTGATTAATTCGGATCCAAATTCTTAACATCTCTGGGGCTTCCAAAGGAAGGAGATGGGCAACAAAGGAGTCACTCAGAAACTGAAAGAGAGCATGATGCTTCTATCGAATTACTTAACTACCAAAGCCTTAAACATCTCCTCTTCCTAGTTGACTGCCTTACCAATTCACCCCTGGGAGATATTCAGAGCCCAGAATCACAGCCAAAGAATAACTGCTTGTTTGAGTTCCAATTAGTTCCCAAGTAACTATCCATGGCAAACAATGGGGTTGGCTGCTCAACTGTTACTCATACACCCACCCCTTCCTCCTACTTGGCAGTGCCTGGTTCCCATTACATGGATTGCAAGTACCAGATGAGCAAAATTTCTGGCCTTTTTTCCATGAAGATCCAATCTTGACCAAGGAGCCCAAAGACAAAACCAGCTGGGGAGTCGACGGGGACAGTCCTTCCCCTTGATAAACAGAGATGTGAGGAAGAGATACCATGCTTACTTGGGTAATCGGGCTCTGGAGGAATCATTGCCTAAATAGTGAGAACAATGGACCAGAGAGTCTGGGCTCTGAACAAACTCTACCCTGCCTCTGGGATCCTTCTAGCTGTGTTGATAACAAATCCTGATTTTGTAAGATGCTTTTCATCAGGAACTACTACTTGCAGCAAAGTTGTCCTATATGAACCACTATCTTTTTTTCTTTTTAACGTTCAACAATTTAGAAGGGTTGGTCAAGACGAAAGAAAATGGATGAAGGCTTCAGTTCCCACGCTACACATACTACACGCAGCAGAATGAAGCTGGGCTCTCGATACAGAGGACCTCACTGAGCACAGAACACCCTTCCCGTGTCTCCATCCGAGTTACCAGCCATCTTCTGCAATTTTAGAGGCAGAAACTTTCCAAGAATACCACCAAAATGGCATCATCGTACTGTTTTATCATCTATTTTTATTCCATGTATTTCTTACTTTTTCCCTTTTCCTATGCTAAAGCTATACCAAACAGAGTTATATGGTTTGCCTGTTGTTGTTGTTGTAAGCCGTCGAGTCGGACCCGACTCATAGTGACCCCTCCTTGGGTTTCCGAGGCAGTATCACTACGGAAGTAGATTACCCAACCTTCCTTTCGAGGAGTGGCTGGTGGGTTTGAACTGCCAGCCTTCTGGTTAGCAGTCAAGTGCCTTAGGCACTACGCTACCAGAGCTCCTCATACAGTTTGCCTATTAGGGAAATGTTTCCACTTCACGTGCAGACAGCATCTTCATTTGAGAGTGAATTCCAATTTATCTTTGAATCTAAGTAACGTCCCATTATTAAATGATTGTGTTTTCAGCTTTTCAAAGAGCAGCATAACTCTGCTTGGAAGTTGCCAAGAACAGAAGTCACCTGAGAAGAGTAGAAGACCCCCAATAGTTGGTTTAATAAAGTGTTTAGACTTTGCTACGGATGAGGAAAACCTGTGCCCCTAACTATGCCAGGTGTGTTGGCAACCTGTACCTGCAGATCTCTCTGCCCCCAGGTGGCTGCATGGCTTCCAGCTCACCTCCTTCAGGTCCTTCTCAGATCTTAGTGAGGCCTTCCTTGATCTCTCCATGTACTATGGAAACACCCTGCACACCTGTGCATCCCTACTTTCCATCCAGGATTCATTTTCTCTAGAGTACTCATCTTCGAACACACTACATACAATTTTAGCTTGAAAAGAATGTAATTTGTGCCCATTTTAGTTCACTGCAGCATCCTCGGCCCCCATGGTAACAGGCACTTGGTAAGTACTTGTATGAAAGCAAGCATCAGATGGCATCTACGTGGAACATCCACCCAAATAGGTCCTCCCAGCTTGGCTACTGCTCATGCAGGCGAGAGCAGGAGACATGTCCAAAAAGAGGCAAAGGAGCAAGAGATCTGGTCAAAGTATGTGGACCGTTAAAGGTGACTTCTGAAAAATTCGACACAGGTGCATCGGAGACAGGTGCAAGGTGCAGATCTCAAAGCAATTCAAAGACCCATGCAGATCCAAAAACAGCGTTCAATTGGATTGTCTTTCCAAGAGCTGCAGTGGCGGCCACTGCTGATACCGGTCCAGAAAGGGGTACCCAAGACACAGCGGGTAGAAGCTAGAAATTTCTCTTTTCCCTGTAATACCTGGACTATTTGGAAGTGAAAAACAGAAGGAAGGAAGAGAAAGGAAAGGAAGCGCAGCAGGGAATGCATTCATTCATCAGGAACTAACCTCACATTCAGGACAAAACCAGTCCCCCTCTGGTTCCGATGTCAGTCTCAGACACTTAGCGTGATAAACCCGGGGACAGAGCTCACAGCAAAGGACTTGGCCTTCCCGGTGACAAACCCAGCAGTAGAAATCATTCCGTCCATCCTGTGGTACAACATCAACAGGGTCTGTGGTGAGTGGCTGCTTCATATAGTAAAACGGACCATGTCTTAGTTCTGACTGGAATGTAGGCAAGAAAGACAGGTTTGGTTTCAAAATAAATGTGCATTCTCAAAAGAAATTCGAACAAATACATCAATAACAACAAAAGAAAATTACAGCATTCACAAGTACAGCAAAAAGCCAAGCTAGCTTGGTAACTACTGAAGACAGAATGTGCAGGTCTTCACATATTAATAGTTTTTTTTTTCTTCTTCTATTTTAAGAGGCCACGGATGGACAGCTGGTATCTAAGAGTTACTAGGCAGCCCTAGCTGGAGTGCACAGTGGTTACAACCCAGGGCTCTGACATAAGACATCTCTGGGTTCAGATGTCAGCTCTACATTAACCAGCTGCATGCCCTTGGGCAAGTCTCTTGACCTCTCAGCTTCAGTTTTCTCATCTGTAAAACCGGGACATTAACACCTGACTTTGTGGGATAGTGGGTGGGATCAAATAGGATGATATCTCATATATATGCATTTAACACAACGCCGCCATTACCAATATTGCTAATATGGTCAAGAGGACAGTGGACAGTGTATGGAAGCCCAAATGCACGAAGCCAATAAAACTATGGCAGTTTTCCCTTGGAGGTGGCTGGAGATGGATTGATTGGATTTGAGTCACAAAAACACAACCATCTGATTTTTTGAGCCTACCCCGATACATCAGCACCATGAGCCATCAACGTGACTGACTGTGGGCGGTGCAGGTCCACCCTCGTCTTCACTGACGAGTCACAGGTCCTATTTAGAACTAACGCAGCAACGGAAAAATGAGATGGATAATTCAGGGAAGCCAGACCCCTTTCTGCCCCAAAATGTCAGGAGAAACATGTCCCTCACGATTTACTGTAGAATCCAGCAAAGTCACTCTCACATCGTGTAAAATTATTCAAAGGAAATTCACTCAAAAATGTCTTATCCAAAACTACTAGAAACTCCTGTGCAGGAAGGAAGGATGGCATACATAGTCCAGTGGCAAGTATGACAAAGATCTGGCAATGAGCTGTGCAACCTTGAGAAGCCATGCAACCCTCTCTGAGTCTTGGTTCCTTGGCAATAGGAAGAGGGAAATCAGTTTTAGCCACAACCACGGTACCTACCTGTGAATAAACCTCACTGTATGACAAGCTTCTTTTCTTTCCTTCAGTAAAATATTATGGATTTCTCCACAGATCTTGGATACTAGTTAGACACAGGGTATTTCTCGGCAATACTATAAATGGGGATCTTTGTCTACGAGCTTTTCGAAATGGTTACTATGGCTGTGTGGAAGAGCTGCTGGTTTCACTGATGCTACACATAAGCAGTTCTAATGATTTATTGATTGAAAATCCTACCAGTTCTGAATTACATCAGTTTTGTGTCTTCCTTTCTAACACTCACTTCACTTTGCTTCTCTCCTGTTTTCAATGGCTAGGACCTCCAGGGTAAGATGAAAGAGCTGCTATGACTGCAGGTCCCAATGTCTTGTTCCTGGCGTTTGGTATGACGTTTCCATGTTCTAAAACACCTGCTATTCCTACACTCCTTGATAAAGAGCCTCATTAGTGCCAATTTGGCAGATCTCTGTCACTCAATCTTCTAAGCCTTCTGCTCTAACTTTTACGAAATAAACAGCTAAGACTCCAAAGGGTAACCGTGTTCATTCTTTAGTTCAGTGATCTCCCTGGTTAAGGTCAACTTTTCAGGTAGAGCAGTCTATTTGGTTTTTATGGAATACCACCACCATTACGCTATTATTCACAAGTTACATTTGTACAAAGTCCTCAGATTTGCCAGCATTCTGTCACAAACACCATTTCCTCTTATCCTCACAACCACTCAGGTCCTCAGGACAGATACCTCTAGTCTTACTGAACAGATAGGAAAACCAGGTTAAAAAGACTTATCTGACCTCCAAGTTCAGAGGAAGGATTTGGGCAAGAACATGACCCTGGGGCTTCTCATACTCCCTCTCTTCCCTACACCTCACACAAGATGATGCCTGATGTAGACAAGATTCTGATGATCTGATGACCCCTCAGAGAACATTCTCTGCAGCTGAAAATCAATTCTGCTTAATGCAAAAAAGCTAGAGGAGGAAAGGTCTGAAAAATAGGAAGACTATTCCTTGGGCGTGGAAGGTAACAGCATCGAGAGCAGGGCTTCTCACCCTCAGCACTAGTGACATTTGGGGCTGGGTAATTCCTTGTTGTGCCCTGTAGGATGCTTTGCAACATCCTTGATCTTCACCCCGTAGATGCCAGTGGTTCCCTCTTTCTCTAAGCTGTGACAACCAGCAATGTCTCCAGACATTGCCAAATGTCCCTTGGGGGACAATACTGCCCCCTGGCTGAGGACCACTAGTGCAGAAGGTCTACTTCCTGCTTCCTTTGAGTTCCTCTGGGGAAGTTGAAAGGGGGAGCCTGGAGGAGGAGAAACTCCCACTGAAATATATAAACTGTGCCTATCGAGTAAGAAGAACTATTTCTAACCGAGTGAGGTCTTCCTAAATCCTATGGATTTTGCAAGACAGCAGTAAGCCTTATTTCCGGTCATTCCAATAACAGGAATATTCAAATCTAAATGGAACTCGAAGAGTCGAATATGACAGTTCATCTCCCTAACTGGCTACCCAAGTATTTTCTAATAGAAGCCAGGTATAGATACTTCTCCCCGATTCCTCCTCAGCCATCCAGCAACTGGCGGAGGATGCGTATTCCTGGAAGGACCATGGGGAGTGCCAGGCTATGCCATACTCTTTCCAAACTATCTCATCCCTCCCTCCATTAAGCAGCAGTTGTTGCAAAGGCGAGCTGCCTGGTTAATCTCCTTGTCAATCAGATATCTTCCTTATCTGCTGCCTGTAACTGAAAGTTTCCTGCTCCATAAAAATAATCTGATAAGAAATATGGGATATGGGGAAAAAAAAAAAAAAAGGAAAAGCAAATCATTCCAGGCAAAATGAGTTATGATTTTTGCTTCTCCACATGTATAAAGTTGTGGTACCACCCTGATAACAAGGCCAACAGGTTGCAACTTGTGTACTTATAGGATGATCACAGGGTATGAAAGCCAATTTTCTCCTTCCTCTGCTGCTTCCATGGCTTGACTTAACAAGGAAAGAGAGAACGCCAGTTCATTAACTTCTGATTTACCTCAGTCTACACCAGGAGTCAGCAAACATTTTCTATAAAGAGCCAGACAGTTGAGGCTTCGCAGGACAAAAGCAGCCACAGACAATACGTAAATGAATGGATATGGCTGTATGCCAAGAAAACGTAACTGACAAAAACAGGTCTGAGGCCAGAGTTCGCCAACCCTAGTCCACACACACTGGGAACTGCGTGTTCTGTCTGTGTGAGTACGGGACACACGTGCAGGAAGGGGGACAGGAAAGGCAGGCAGCACAAACTCCAATTCCGAAGGAGCACTGCTGGCGCAGTGCCTAGGCATCTGACTACTAACCAGAAGGCTGGCGGTTCAACCCCACCAGCCACTCCACGGAAGGAAGGCTGGGCAATCTACTTCCATAAAGATTTACCACCTCAGAAACCCAAAGGGGGTGCTATGAGTCAGAATCGACTAGATGGCAGTGAGTCTGGTTTGGTCTGGTTTAGGCAACATGAATGAGTGAAGGAAAATCATAGCCCTCCTTGCTCCAGCTCTCATCTCCTACATCTGATGGGAGCAGGGATCCTGAAAAATGTGTCTCCCACTTTAAGAAAACTGCCTACCCCTGGAGTATGTGCAATGGCAACTGGCTGTCAGCCTAGAAACAGACAAGACAGAGAGAGTAATGGGCCCTAGGGCCCACAGAGAGTCCATGACTATATTTAGGGGTCAGCCCCCACTTGGCTACAATCCCTGCTGTCACTTGACCTTTCCTAATACAATATCCCAACCCAACAAGGAACTTGGTAAAATGCCCAGTTTTTAAGACAATGCATAGACCCATAAAATAAGGTCTGTTGCTGTTGTTATGTGCCATCGAGTCGGCCCCGACTCATAGCGACCCCTCCTTGGGTTTCCGAGGCGGTATCACTACAGAAGTAGATTGCCCAACCTTCCTTCTGAGGAGTGGCTGGTGGGTTCAAACCGCCAGCCTTCTGGATAGCAGTCAAGTGCCTTAGCCAAGGTCTAGACCACCATGTATGACATGCACATGGGTGGGGTATGTATACAGTGAAACCCTTAAGAACCGGAAGCCTTGTTTGCCCGCCTTGCAAGTCTCCTGCCTGTGGCAAAGGTGTTTACCACCTTTCTATCACTCTCTGTTAAGAATCCTACCACATAAACACCCAGTGAATTTTCCTCTTCTGACAGGCCTTACACGAGTTCTGGCTTTTTCAGGTTTTACTGTACAGTGTTTTCTAGGCTGTAATCTTTACAGGAAGGAGCCCTGGTGGCCCAGGGCTTAAGCATTTGGCTGCCAACAAAAAGCTGGTTTAAACCCGCCAGCAGCTCAATGGGAGAAGTATGAGCCTAGCTGCTTCCGTAAAGATTGACAGCCTTAGAAACCCTATGGGGCAGTTCTACTGTGTCCTATAGGGGCGCTGTGAGTTGGAATCAACTCGACCACAACAGGTTTGGTCTTTTTTTAAAATCTTCACAGGAGCAGGTTACCAGGTCTTTCTCCTATGGAGCTGCTAGGTAGGTTCGAACCACCAACCTTTCAGTTAGCAGGCCACTGCTTAATTGTCACACCTCCAGGGCTCCTTATATATAGATAGATAGATAGATAGATAGATAGATAGATAGATAGATAGATAGGTAGAGCTATCCTGCATCAGAGAAGGTGAAGATGGGGCCCTTCATTTCTTGGCCATGTATGATCAAAAGACCCTAGAGCCACTTTGCACAAACCTTCTAACAGATTGTTTTTCAATCGTTTTATTAGACCAAAAAAAAAGTCTCCAAAAGAATTCTTTAAATTCAAATATCTTGAGAAGTAACCATCAGAGTGGTACTTTCCAGTAATGGCTGTAAGGGACTGTCCTGTCAACCACGGGGTGGTCACCAACCTGCCCTTCCTCCAGAATAACATCAGAACAACCCCACCCCCAGGCTTTGGGACACTCCCTGCCCCCAAAAAACATCCAGATGTTTTCAAACCCCTCCCTAAGGGGTGATATCATTGGGCCAAAGGGCTTAGAGAAATTAATTATAAACCTTAGAATACTCTTTTCTCTCAAAATAAAGAGTTTATATTAAAACTCCCTTAAACATATTGAATTCCCAGTATAAGAAAAACGGGGGAATTAGGGTACAAACTTAAAACTTAAGTAATCTTACCACTCAGTAATAAAAGGTCTCGACCTTAACCAAACATGGAAAAACATATTGTGTCGTTTGGTTTTATTTTAAACAAAGAGAGAGTGGCCTTCTTTTTAGAATATTAGACTTCAAAGAGAAAACAGAATAAAGAAAAAGAAGCAGAGAAGCTTGATACCTACCGAAAGTCAAGACAACTCCAATGCCTATAAGGAGGCAAGCAGGAGAGGGGAGTGGGGTAGATGTGAGACAAGAGGGAGGGGTGGGGAGTATAGCAAACTAGTAATTACATGCCCTGTGTTTCTAAAGGGTCAGGCTCTACTGAGCAGTAGCAATGGCTGGATTTTCTGAGTTTATAAGTGAGCTCAGAAATGTAGATTTTTATTTGCAATCTCTTGATCATTAAATGTTGAGAGATGAAAAGAAATTATGTTGGTCAAACATAGAGTTTATAGTCCTGTAATTGACTACTTTTCATTCTGTAATTTTATTTTTAAAAAAAAAAAGGTGCCCAGGAGAACAAAAGAAAATGGATTTGTTTCCCGTAAGGCAAAAAGATTCTGCATCGGAAAGATTGCCCCTACCACGCAAACAGTCAAATGCCAGAATGAATTACGGGGTCGAGAGTCAGGAATTTGTTCTCTTTATAGCTAAAGCAACTAAGAGTGTTACCTTTTTGCCAATGAAGGTCTCCTGACCATTCTGCCCAGGAGTTTTTATCAGAGAAACAAAATCTGCAACTAACCTAGCACTAACCTAACTAACCTAACTAACCTAACCCAGTTCAAGCTCCCTTATATGGGAGCCGAAGCTCAGGAAAGCAAATGACAAGGTCACACAGCGAGTTCCCCAGCTGCAGCAGAGGTAGGAAGAGCCAGGTCTCCAGGCAGCCCTGGAACTTTCCCTCCAGCACCACAGTTCTGTAAACGGTTCTATCCACTCTGAGGACGAAGGACCATTTGGGTGTACAGTCATACCCTGTAGTCCATTCTCCCGTGCTCTGCTACTTGCCACATTCTCAACGCTTTCTGTATGCATTCAGCAAGGTCTGCCTGAGCTCCCACCTGTGCCAAACTCTGGGGCTACAACAGCAAGTGGAAACCAGCCCCACTTTTCTGAGGCTGCTAGTCAAGAGGGGGACACAGACTTACAGACACATCATTATGGTCTCGAGGCTCAAGTGTTAGAGAAATGGAATGAGCACATGGGTGGGAAGGTCAGAGAAGAAAATGCCAGCCCCCAGGAACAGAGACCACACGAGCTCTTAAAGCACAGGGAGGGACGCAGGTGTACGAAAGTGTACACACCAGAGAGGCAGCAATCAAAGTAGACTACTTCCGCACAGTGGGGACACCCTTCATGACTTACTGGAAACTCTAGTAAGACACTGGTAGCCCAGGAAGCAGAATTACTGGCTAAGTTCAGGTTTGGACATTATCTGTGGCTCTTACTTTCTTAGCCTTCAACCATGACAGCTACGGATGGCTCCTGGGTGACAAAAAGCAGCTTGTCACTTTCAAGCTAAACAGGCAGATCTAAGTTCCAATGCAGCTTACTCACTCTGAGACCTTGAAGAGGCACAGTAACCTCTCTGAACGTCTGTGTCTTCATCTGTGAAATGGATGATGGTAAACCCTTCCTCACAGGGTTGTCATGAGCCTTAAGATAACACAGAAAAGGCGCTTACAACAGCACCAGACACACAGCAAGCACTGCCCTTAGTATCATGATCATCAACGCTATTTATATGTTTCTTTTCAAACTGTAACACCCCCAAATATGTCTTTATAATCCACCACCAGCTTCTTCTCCTACAAAGGGTTCCCAGCTCATGGGGACCCCATACTGTCCAACATGGTACCGGTACCAAGTTGCACACAGCTTCTAAAATTCAAATTAAACTTTAAAAAATACAGTTCCTTAGACACACTTGCCCATTTCAGTCGTTCAGTGGCCACTGTACTGAACCGTACACAGAATATTTCTGTACCTATGATTTAATTTATTATGTATGTAACTACCAGCCACTCCTCAGAAGGAAGACGGGGCAATCTACTTCCGTAGGGATACTGCCTCGGAAACCCAAGGAGGGGTCGCTATGAGTCGGGTCCGACTCAACAGCACAAAACAACAACAACAACATTTCACTTAGCACACAGCCTGGCTTGTTTTTTAATTTATTCTTACTAAAATCATTTTGTTCAGTTATCTTCACAGCAGCCTTGTGGAGTTAGCAGTGGGATTATCATCACCCTATTCCAATATGAGAGACAATTAGGCACAAAGAAGTTAACGTACCCACAGCCACAAAGAAGAACCGGTACTCTGCTACAGAATTTCGAGAATGAAAATGGATTAGCGCTCAGAAAGATACACCTCTCACAGTTCTGGCCATTTAACCATTGCTAGGTTTTCTCCTCGTGAAAGCAACGATCTTGCTTGATTCAACTTCAAATCCCCAGGGCCCACTCCAGTGCTCAACAACACACACAATGGATGGATGGGTGGGTGGATGCATGGGTGGATGGAGCCCTTGGAATCCCTGAAGAGGGGGACACAGCAGAGTCACCGGGGGGCGGGGGGGGACACTGTTCTTCAAACGCTGTGAAAATTGATCCTCATTTGTGGGGCTGGGGGTGGTGAATTCCACCCATATACCCACTAAAGTACCACTCTCTCTCTCTCTCTCTCATCTTTTTAATAAGAACATCTAGATTACACCAGAAAATTTTAAAGCTAGAAGGTTCCTCAGACAAGATCCAAGATGGTGAATAGATTCTCCATTATCTGCTTGGTTGGCCCGGGCTGCTGAGGGAGGTCTGTGCTCAATGAGAACAAAACCTAATCAATCACCAAAGTCTAGCTCAGGTGACGCTCGGGGAAGGCGGCTACCTCCTGCCCCGGAGCCGAAGCCCTCACTTTACAGATGAGAAAACCGAGACTGGGAGAGAACATGACTTGACCTCAGTCAGGCCATCACCTCCCAACAGAGCTCAGAATTCCTCCTACTGGTGTGGCTGGTGGGGGGGGGGGGGGGTATCTTCAGGCCACATGGGGAAACAGCGTCCTACAAGTGTGAAAAAAACAGTCCTCGGAAAATGCCCCAAACCCCTAAAGCCCATCATTCTCCACCTCATGTAGGTCAGCGACCTGTCCCCAAAACAGATCTGCAAACCGGCTGGAAATGTTTACATGGGCACAATTTGAGCTGCCCTTTTCTCTTATGCAAAAGACAACTGCACAAGGCAGCTACGTGACTGCCAGGGACACCAGCCCTTAGAAAAGCCTTAGGAGCTTTGGTGCCTATCACTACAGCCTCTGCCCCACCTGTGCGGACACCGCTCCCAGGGGGTTCCTTTACCTGCTCCTTATTGTTATTGTTCAGTAAGCCGGGTTTCTTTTTCTTTTTAATGGGGCTTGCTGACGTGTCCTGTGGCGAGTGGCCGTTGGAGGAATGTGGAGGACTGGGAAACTTTCTTTTCTGGGCTGCTCTCTCTGTAGAGCCAGGATCTGTAAGAGACACACAGGATCACATATTTTAAAGCAGTTGAGGAGGCCTGAGCCCTATGCGGTGTGGGAGGTGGGACACACAGCCCATTTTGGTCCCCAAACTCCCAATGCTGTTTTAGCATCCCTCTTCCTGGAATACACCTGCCTCTTCCACATCACCTGTCTCAGAGATCAGACAGGTAACATTTTTACAGAACTGTAATTAGTTGCCAAAATGTAAACATTGGGAGACTTCACATAGCAACCTGTATTTCCAGCTTTGAAAAAAAAAAAACAATCCAGGTCTGCATACCCTCGTGGCACCCGTACAGCTGAGTAATTGCCACCTAATTTTTGATCAGAACATGCTCTCCACTCTGCCACAATCCTCGCCCTCTTCTATTGCCCTGACAATGAGGCCATGCCGCAGCTACCATGAGCTGTTACATAGTTACCAGTATTTTTCTTATCCCAAAGAAGTATCTTTCTGTCCATATCTGATGGCAAAAGAAAGTCATGAAAAAGACAGACAAGACAGATTTCAAGAAATGAAGGCAAATACACTTCTCTGTGGATGAAAATATTATTTATTCATGGTTTATAGGCTAACAAAGGATAACGAAAAAAATACATCCGACCCGCCTGAAAGTCACCACCAGCACACATTGTGTTTGAGACTGGTTGTGCTGAGAGGTCAACACAAATTACATTCTCACTAATTTGCACCTGACAGTGCTCAACCCATCTGTCATCCTCCCCCTCTTAGTGTTCACTCACCACCCAGCATCTCATTCAAACACACAGACTCCCCCAACCATCCAATCTTCACCTGCAAGGACATGAATCCAGTCCATGCCAGATGGTGACTTTGTTATCTTAGGGGAGAATCATATAATGACACAGCTTGGTGCACTTTACATTCTGAGAAATAAAGGCTGCAGTTCTCAGAAAAGGGGAGAACTATGCCAGGAGTACCAAAGATGGCGGGATGGGGTGTGAAATCCAGAAAGCTGACTATATCCACAGATGGCCTGATGAAGTTCTTCCTCCAATTTACATTAAAGTCAAGCCCCTGCATGCTGGCTGTGACGGGCATTCCAGTCCTTCGTGTCTGAAGAGGACTCGGTGACGGACTAACGGGGTTCCATATCACAGGCCTCCTGACCGAAAATGAACGGCTTGTCACTGAGTTGACTCTGACTCATGGTGACCTCTAGGCGCTACAGACTAGAACCACTCCAGAAGGTTTTCTTAGTGGTGATCTTTACAGAAGTAGACCTCCAAGCCTTTCTTCCACACCACCAGGGCTGTGCTGCAACTTTTAGGCTAGAAATCCAGCACAAGCCATATGCACCAGTAGCGTAGTGCCTAAGGCACTTGACCGCTAACCAGAAGGCTGGCGGTTCAAACCCACCAGCCACTCCTCGGAAGGAAGGTTGGGCAATCTACTTCCGTAGTGATACCGCCTTGGAAACCCAAGGACAGGTCACTATGAGTCGGGGCCGACTCGACAGCACATAACGACAACAAGGAAGCCTAAGGGGCCTCCTTCCTAGGAGTTTACTTTTGGTTGAAAAGGGAAGCATCTCCCAGCAGACTCTCTAAGGAAGACAATGAACTGCTTGCTTTCCACAAAAATCACTGCTTCATCACCACTCCACACAATGGAACTCTCCAGACTCACCAGGCAGGCTTCAGAAAAACCCTGAATTAATTCTCAGAGTTCTATGTGAAGACATTGGTGCCCTAGTGGCACAAGAGTTAACTGAAAAGTTGGCAGTTCAAACCCACCAGCCACTCCATGGTGGGAAAGCCTTGGAGATCTGCTCCCATAAAGATCGGAGCCTTGGGGTCCCTATGAGTCTGAATTGACTTGCCAGCAGTTAACACGCTGAGACACAGTCCAGGCGAAGAAATTAAATGCTAACCATAGGCATCGTGAGGGTGACAGACCCCCAGAGTTCCAGAGATGAGCCTGCAGACATCAAAATGGAGGCCCAGAGGGCTCAGATGGTGGACCCAAAGGCACACAGCAGCTAGTTAGTGAGAAAACTAAGATTGGGCCTGAGATTGGTGCACTCACCCCACTCCACCATCATATATATACACTCTCATTTTCTCCATACAATGTGTGACCCAACAATCTCCTTCTAGAAACACATTCTACAGGCACAGTTATAGGGAAGCAGAGCTGTGCAAAGATACTCAACTGTAGCACTGTGTGTGGTACCCAGGCCTGGAAACCATTTATCAGTTTCCCGTTGGGCCCACTCCACCTCATGGCAATCCCATGTGCATCAGAGTAGAATTATGCTTGGCTCCACAGGGTTTTCAATGGCCGGATTTTCAGAATTGGATCACCAGGCCTTTCCAAGGAACCTTGGGTCGACTTGAACCTCTAAGCTGTCAGTTAGCATCCAAGTAAGTTAACCTTTGCACCACCCAGGAACTTTAGAAACAACTTATAAAGGTCAACAATACAGGACTGGTCTGGTGTTCTGACATCTCAACTAATGATGGGATTTTCTATAGCCATTAGGAATAATGAGACACCTCTATACAAACTGATACATAACCATCTCCAACCTACTACATCAAGCTAGCAAAGCAATCCTGTCTAGTACCACTAATGGACCCTATGCATACAAAAATGTCTGCCTAAGTCTACCATACTCCCAAAGAACACAGCAGTATGCTATGACTCTAAAACGGGGAACAGCGGTCCCCTCTGGGAAGGAGAACCTATGAGGAGTGAGGACAGAGAGTTTCTGCTTCCCTGTGTACCCTGGTGTACTGCATTTATCATGTGCCCGGAGCAGTTTATCAAAATAAAGAAAATTAAAAATGAAATACTTAGGTTTCAATTTCACATTTTAAAAAACAGTGGGTGCAAACCAAAACTGGTAATGAGGGCATAGGAGTGGTTGATTCAGGATAAAAAATGACGCCAGATGGACGAAGTCGGGGCGAATCACCTTGGGCTTGTGGCCCACACACAGTAAAGGGTTTGAGTTTTGTTCTACATGGATCTGATAAACCTCAAATAAAAGTCTGTGAAGTGTCAGAGTGCAGGTGTTTAAGTGTTTTGTGGCCTAAAAGGGCATGTCTTAGAAGAAACAGCATCCCCGTCAGGGCAAAAACTGGAAACAACCTAGCGGGGTTTTGGTTCTGTAAGTTTTGTTTTGTCTGTGGGTAGATTTTGAGAGGAGAAAGCACGTGAGCCAAGACACATCAGTGGGAAAGCTGGGGGCAGGTTCAGGGAAAAGCAGGTCGTGTGTTTCCGTGTTTCTCAACACAGCACAGCTGGATTCTAGAAGGATCAGCTCTTCCCCTTGTAAAGAGGACCTTGGTCCCCTCCCACTAGACGCCACTGCTGCTATTAGCTGTTGTCATCTTCAAACCGCCTGACTCTCGGCAACGGAACAGAACGCTGACCCAGTCCTGCACCATTCCACATAACCAGTTGCAGATCAGACCCAGATAGCCTTTCATTGGCTAATTTTTCAGAAGCCTATCTTAGGAGCTCTGGTGGCACAGTCGTTAAAGCATTCAGCTGCTGTCCACGAGAGAAAGATGAGGTAGCCTGCTGTCCTAAAGATTTATAACCTTCGAAACCCTATAGGGCTGTTCTACTCTGTCCTATAGGGTCACTGAGTCAGAATGGACTCAATGGCAGTGGGTTTAAGTCTATCTTAGTCTGGAAGATGCACTGAAACCTGCTCAGCCCCAAAGCCACACCCAAGCCTTCACCAACAGATGGGCAGCGGCTGAGCCCGAGGTCCATGGGCTGACAATCGAACCCGCGTCTCCTGCATAAAGGCAAGGCTTCTACCACTGAACCACAACAAAAGGCATCCCCACAAATTTCCCAAACACGCTCAGAGGAGGGGCACCACCTTCCTGCAGAACCACTGAGCTGGAACATGGAGCACGGGGTTACCAGCACAGCCAACACTTGGAGGTAGAAAGGGAAGTCAGCAACACCACCTTAGGCACCATGCTCTCCACCTGTGGCTGAGATGCCCTGGGGAGGGGGCCCCACAAAGTGTGGTACTTGGAGCAGCTTCACTGGGGAATTTGCTGCTGGGTTCTATCGAGTCAATCTGGACTCAAGGTGACCCCACGTGACAGAGCGGAACTGCGCTGTAGGATTTTCTGGGCAGTAATCTTAACAGGGGAAGCTCTGGTAGCATAGTGCCTAAGGCATTTGACTGCTAACCAGAAGGCTGGCGGTTCAAACCCACCAGCCACTCCTCAGAAGGAAGGTTGGGCAATCTACCTCTGTAGTGATACTGCCTCAGAAAGCCAAGGAGGGGTCACTATGAGTCGGGTCCGTCTCGATGGCACATAACAACAACAAAAATCTTAACAGGAGCAGACGGTCAGGTCTTTCTCCGGTAGAGCCACTGAGTGGGTCTGAACCACCAACCTTTCAGTTAGCAGCCAAGCACCTAACCAATGTACCACCAGGGCTCCTCTAAGGCCCCACGCTAGAATCCAGCAATTTGTTTCAAGAAGCCCTTCTGCGGTAGTCACAGGGACGGAAGGAAAGGAGAGTTTGTTATGGTCAGGGATGGTAATCGGGGCGTGAAATCAAATGCACACGAACTGCTGAATGTGAAACAAATTTGCACCCGAAACACAATAAAATTTAAAATAAAAAAAGAAGCAGCAGCAGCCCTTCTGGAATTTCAGTGTGAGATCCACTGCTCTGGAGTGTAGGCCTAAAGGGCGGGGTCCACACTGGTCAGTCTACCTCCTCGACTTGCCTTCACCACTAGGTGTGGGGCTGGTTGGCTTCTCAAGAGCCGTGAGCCAAGCAAGGAGGCAAGGCTGGAGAATGAGGACAGAAGCTAAATAGGAAACAACCCCAGGGAAGCCTCCCTCCTTCACCGGGCAAAGGGGGCCGGGGGGCTGAAGAATGCACCAGACCAGAAGGTCTCACCTGGAGTCCGTGGAAGTGCTTCTAAGGCCCCTGTACCAGACAGACCAATCCTGCAGGAAGAGGGGTCACAGCCTAA